ACACACACACACACAGAGGTCTGGTATGTTCAAGTAACAATGCGGCACATGGAAGTGAACCGTATTTAAAATCCCATTGACATTTGTAATAAATTAGAATAATAAATTTACACAGTTGATTGCCAGTGATTTGGACGCAGTAACACATTTCATAGCAACAGATTTACACAAATTTAAGATTTTACGACCAAGAGATTCTATAAGCCTGTAATGGTGAAACCTGGTTTAGTTAATGAGTTTGAAACTAGCTAGTAGTTAATAAGAACTTCTGAAAGACTTTATACTCAAACATATAAACAATAGCTGGTGTGAACCAATCCTGGTAAAGGCTTTTTAAATGTACGATCTGTAATACAAAAAATGATTGACAGGTGTTTAAATACACGAACAAAACACAAACGATACTTGAATAATTTATGTTTTCTGATGCTGTTAAAAGGTGGTTTACATTTATGATCAGAGAAATACACAAGGTCATAGTCAAACTACGTACACTAAATACTAAATGACAGAGTGGGGTTTGAAGTTTACATTAAATCCACAACTGCCATCTTTGTTATTCACTGATAAAGACCAAAAAAGTAAATTGGTAGCTGTTTAAAATTCTACTCAAGTAGAGTATCAGAGTGTACTAGTTACTTTCAACCAGTGCAAAGATTATTATTCAATTATTATTAATTAATGGTTACAAGAGGACGACAGAAAAAAATATGTGAATAAGTAGATGACCACTTGATCAACAAATGAGCAACCTTTGTTTTGGTTTGGACCTTTGTTTGCCAGGCCGTTTTGAAAAAGTAAAAGAAAAATGATCTAGCAAAGTTTTGTATCGGTCAAACAAACAGATATTCTCCATTAATGTTCATATTTTCAAATTTCTTAATAGTCTGAGAAGTTTTGTGAGTTTTCTCGGAGCATGCAGACAACCTATTGATCAGGCAAATTGGGTTGGCAGGCATATGACACACACACACACACACACACACACACAGAAAAACAAATTGGACCCTAGCAAGTATACAGATGTTGACACACAGACACAGTGTCATCCACACAGTAACAAACACTCACACAGATATAAGCACAGATACAGACATAAACACACGCACACAAATACCTAAGTCGACAGAGAACAGCAGTATAAAAGCTGGTGACTCATTGTCGGGAGGCTGGTTTATGTGCTACCTGGTGCTTCAACTGGGCATCACACACACACGCACACACACACACACACACACACACACATAGACACACGCATACACAGACAAACAACTGACCTCCCACTGTAGATGAGGGGGAATGTTCCGGATCTGGATCTTCCGACTCCTGCAGAGATGAGAGACACAGACGGAGTGGATTTAACAGACCTGAACCACACACTCACATACACACACAAACAGTTACAGTCATCTGTTGCTGTTTACAGAAACTTCTACGCATTCGGCGCATCAACAGCTGAGAAGCGAAGGCGTTTTGGTGACGAGGGCAGAAATGCAGAGTCAGAGCTGTATTGTGTGTAATCTTAGCGTCATCTTAACTTTCAATAACTCCCACAGCTCATTAGACAGTATCACAAATCAAAGACTGTCGTGAATGTAGGTGTGTAGGTGAGGACATTTATTAGACAGCAGCTACTGACTCTCAGTCACACCCTCCTACGAGTGCTATTCTTACTACTCACACTGTGAGATGTGGAAGCGACACAAAAGACATAAAAAGATATATTTTTAATGAAAACAAAAATGGTGACACATAATTTGATAAATCCAAACCATTGTGATTAGAGATTATCAGAAAAAAAAACAGAGCAATTTGTGTCATTCATAATTTAACAATAAACAGGCTTCTTTGGGATTGTTGAGGCCTAAAAGGCCTCGAGCCTTTTTAAAACATTGCAATGCATGTTTAAGCAAAAATAGTTGCATTTTTTTGTGTCATTCATTAAAAATCAACTTGTTCCAATGACAATAAAATCGCTAGTAGTTTTGTGATGTATGGTTTAGTGTCTTGTGTGGGAGATTGCTGTGACTGGTGATTGTTTAAAAGTTTAGAACAAAGGAAAGAAAGAACAAAAATGTATTCATTTATTCACTCACAATGTAAACAACGTCACATTAATTAAAATTTGTATCTGTATTTTTTTGTTGCTTGTCCACCTGGCAGCTGTTTGCACCTGTTTGATTTGTAATTACCAACAAAGATGATAAAACCCTGAGACTTTGAACAAGCTTTGTACAACCACATCTTTTAGTTCTTTTTTAATCAGAATATTTCAGTCAGAGAGGACAGAAAGATAAACGTAAAAATGTACAAATGTCCAGAGCTTCCACACAACCATCTACTCTCCAACAAGCGTGTCAGCTGAAATAGCAAAGCCACACAAACCGCCCGGTGACCACAAGCTGTTAACAACTACATTAACATGAGAGAGTCCAGCTCCGCAATGAGAGCTGCTGATCTAAAAAGCTGAAAGGAATACGCATTTTCAGCACACAATTAGGAGGCATTACAGGAGCGGGAGTGGAAGACGGAAGCATGGACGTGAAGTGGAGGAGGAAAGGTAACAAGAAGAGATAATGAGAGGTGGATTTGAGCTCAGGAGGATTCTCCACAGGGGAAACACAGTTCCCCGTCTAGGTTTTTGCATCTTTCTCTCCCAATGCGTTTGGGTGCAAAACACCGCAGGTCAGAATTTCCTGTCAGCAGCGAGGAGAGGACGAGAGGACTGAGCTGGCAGCTGGACATGAATGAATGACTCTTTCTGATTGTGCTGCTCGAGGGAGAAAAAAAAAGAAGAGGAGAAACACAGCGTCACACCAGTTTGGGACAGCCCTCTCCTCTCCTCTCTACATCCATGTGAACTTCATATCTTCAAATTAAAATATTGAGGTTTTACAGTCACATGTAAATGACATTCATATTATTCTACTAACTTTAACGATTCTGTGAACGTATATTCCTAAGTAAAACAGGAAAAATTAGTTCAGTCTGGTTTTTCCTCTGTCATGAACGTCCTCCTACAGAAACGAACAGCGGACAAGAACCAGAAAAAAACAAAAAACGGACAATTCCCAGCGTGTCCTACCACACAGTGGCCTGCAAGCTTTCTGTCACTGTCGGTGGTTTAAAGAGTGTCTCGATGAAAGATCTCTCTTGGCAACGGGTATCCAAACAAGGGTAAACCGATTAAAAAAATCAGTCTGTACCACTAAAACACATCACCTTTTTCAACGTAGTAAACAACCTCCTGCCATCCGAAAGCAGCCAATAGCAGAAAAGTGTTTAAGGCCAACTCCAAAACCTCAAAACAGCCCCAAACGCTGGCATCCCTGAGCTGCCGAATATGGAAACTAAAAGCTCCTTTCATTCGGCGTCGTCTGCTTAAATAGCCTGTGAATTCTGAGGGCCCGGTTCTCTATTGTGTTTGTGTTAATTGATTTGTCAACTGTAACCTTGATGTAATGTTAGACTGTATGGTGCTGACCTGCAGCACAGTAACACCACCCTCTGCACTGTTTAAAGTTAATAAGCACATTAGTGGATCCGCTGTCAGGATGAACGGAGTTTGGTGTAAACTGTTGGCTTTCTTTATCAATATTGTTCCACTGTCTTTACGTCGCCTCAACACATGGCTCCCTTTCAAGCAATACTCCTGTTTATTCATTTTCTTGTCTTGTAGCTTGCACATGTTTTAAAGGCCACTTGCTTGTCTGTCATATTGAAGTATGCAGAGGAAGCTCCCCGAATGGACATCTCTTGGAAAAAGTGACAGCGCCTCCCGACAGTTCTTCAAGGTCTCATTTTCAGCATGCCTGTGGCCGCTAGCTAACCATAAGATCACTGCTTTCTGTCTGTCTCCAGGGTAGGGAGAGGCCCGCGATACATACCACCATGCAACATATACTATTGTCTGTCTACAACATTTATGTTTTGCTACAACATCAGCTGCATGCCCTTTAGGTCATATGTGTGCTTTAAAATCAGGGCATGAGCCAGCGGTGTTGTATATATCATCTAATATCTATTTGTTTGCATTCAAGGTGAACCCAGCGGCCTTCCAGAGCTCCTCCTTTCCCAAAGTCCAAACTGAACTGAAGTAGAAGAAACAGACTGAAGTCAATGGTTACTTAATGTTTGTTGAATGTAACCATGCTGTCTGCTGTTGGTTTGGAGCGGCCTGCCAAGAGAAAAAAAGAAAGCCTCTCAATTTCGGCCTTTAAATATCTGAGGGTGGCCATGTTCATTTGAAAAGCTAATATTTACTGCACCCACCTGCACGAGGTAAGAAACCGTATCTGCGCACATGCGTGCAAACTAATACACACATGCATGCGGAGCAGTCGGAGGAATTTTAACCTCTGAGAGGGCAGGCGGACAGCGGGGTGAGAAAGAGGGTATTCACCCTTCGCCAGGAGTTTGCAGTGTTCCTAAAGATGAACATCTGATCATCAAAGTCAAACGCTACGTTGTGTTAAAAAACTGTTTTTTTCTAACCTTCTGAGATCACTTGGTTGTAACTAAGTTTAAGGAATACAAGTACAACAATTAGTAATTAATGCTATTCAACAGACAACTGATCAGTAACTATTGTGATAACTAATTAATTGCTGCAAAAGGGACATGTCATAGTTTCAGTTTCTCAAATGTGAGAATTTGTTGCTTCTCTTGGTTTTTAAATTATAAAGCAAACTGAAATTCATAGTTCAAATTGTTGGTCAAACAAAACAAGTCACATTTGCTGACATTACTTTAGGCTCAGGGGCCTTTTCTCACTATTTTCTAATGTTTTACAGATAAAACAATTCATCAATGAATTAAGAAAATTAACAGCAGATTGATCGTTATTTGCAGCCTTAATAAGGACCAATTCCCTCCCCATGTGCACTTCTGGAGCAACATTTTATTTTTGTTTCTTTGAATATTTTCTCATAACGTAAAACAGAGAAAAAAAAGAGTTTTGAATAATTTCCACATCAGCTCCAACTGGACTCCACAAAACATGAGTCACAGGGCTGCATGTGGACAGAGCTGACTGAATAAAGAGCATGTGTCTGTCAGTACAGAGGCGGAGAAGTCTTTGAAATGAAACTCTCTATGGTAGAGGCAAAAGAAAAGTGGTGGGACAAGATGTCAACAACTGGAGCAGCCTGGGTAAAAATTCCACCACAAATGATAGACATAAAATTAACACAAAACATCAACACAGTCTGAAATATAGGATGCATTTGAGAAATATTGTGAGGTTTTGTGATTTATTACTGATTAATTCTAGAGATATGAATACAAACTACCACATATTATATATATATTATAATAGAAATGTCCAGCAGCATAAGATGTATTGTATTTTTTACTAAAATAAAAGTATGCAACTAAAATTCCTCTATTCAAAACTTATGAAGTAAAAGTGCAGAATTATTGGGAACAAAATGTACTTTGAGTATCAAAGTAAAAGTATGCAAAATGGCCCCAATACCTTAATATTATATAACTGGAATATTATTATTGGTTCATACATAAACAGCCTTTTAATCTATAACAATTATATCGTTTATTATAGTTTATAAACTGTATGTATATATATATATATATATATATTTATATATATATATGATCAGCCACATTATGACCACCTGGGCACCCTGACTGCTCTGTGATACACTGTGTGTTCTGACACCTTTCTATCAGAACCAGCATGAACTTTTTCTGCAGTCTGTTGGATCGGATTTCCAGCCTTCACTCCCCACATGCATCAATGAGCCTTGATGACCCTGTCCACTTTTGATAGATACTGACCACTGCAGACCGGGAACACCCCACAAGAGCTGCAGTCGTCTAGCCATCACAATTTGACCCCGTGTCAAATTCACTCAAATCCTCACGCTGCCTATTTTTCCAGCTTCTGACACATCAACTTTGAGGACAAAATATTCTCTTGCTGCCTGATATAACCCACCCACTGACAGGTGCAATGATAACATATACATAAAACATGTATGTGTATATATAGACTTAGTTACTTTCAACCACAACTTAAGCCGTGTGATGACACCTGAGCCAGTTCCATTCACTGAAGAAGACCATGGTATAAAAGCTCCGGAAGGCATTGATAATTATGATTTTGTGACATATATGGTTCCCAAATGTCAAGAATTACTTTCCATGCTCAAACATAAGACATTTTTAAAGGTTTTCTTTTTCATATAATGTAAGAGATTTGCTGTTAAATTAAATAAAGCACTAAAAGGTGTGTGTGCAGATTAATAACATATAAGTTACGTATGCAGGTAAAATACAGTATAAAGTGTAGGAGAGAAGAACATTTT